ATATATATACTTTAAAAATAATTCATATGACCATTCATCTGAATATGAGATTGTATGACCTTTTAGGATGAACAATTTGTGCATCACCTTATAACTGCATCAAATCTAATAAATGCCCAACTGAATCTGAACACCTTTTTATCGCCCTCCAGTGGAGCGAATCCACACTGCTACTGTGGAGGGAGTCACAGAAATTAGATGTGCAAATTCAAAGAGCATCTTCCAATCACATTTTCATTCACCCTCTCAATTACTGTTTATTAGCCTACATCAGCAATACCCGTTTAGATAATGACAATCGCAGCATGCCTCACTGATTTGGTATCAACTGCTATATCCACTTCAAACCCCGCAGCATTCACGTGACGTGTTGTGGCATTGCACTTGATTTTTTGCTCCAGGTATTATCCAACTGAGACCAGCAATGTAGAGGCGAAAAAAACGGTACACTAAGACATTCAGCAGGTAAAGACCATAGGGAATACTATGAATAGACATAAAAAATTTTAGGAAAAATAAATAAATCTGGTTCTTTTACCAACACTTAACTTAAAACGTATATAAATTTAGTACTAATCTGAAAAATATCACTAAGCTGAACTTAGTTTAAATGTTTTTTCCCGCTACATTCCTGTCTAGCACTGTTATTCTGACTCTAGCAGCATTTTCTCATGATGGCTGACCAGAGCTTCATCATGCCTTTTTGTGACAGGACACCAAATATGGTCCCTGTCAGTAGTGCTCCACACATACGTCCCTGCCCAATTCAGCCTTTCATCATTTGATTGAAGAGTTTGTTTTTATTAAGAAGGCTATACCAGACGCATAATCACTATACACTGATTTAACATTACCTTTACAATTAAATTCTTCACTGAAATTACAGAATAAATATATGCACATTTTTCTTCAAATCTTTGTGAGAGAGAAAACATTAAAAGTGCCTCCTACAAAGCCGTTAGTGGGTGGCGATGGGGAATCCAGAAGTAATGGAGGGGTGGGGTGGGGGGTTGGGGAGAAGGGGGAGAAGGGGTGGGTCTTAACAAAGTGTGTGGAAATATCCAGAAAACCTTCGGCATTGTCTTATAGTAATATTCACAAATGTTTTTGCCATCCGTGCGTCGGCGCATCCTTTTTACGAGAAGCACCCTGATATAGACAGAAGTCCTCATTAATAGTAATAACCATATTAATAAGATATAAAAATTAAATAGAACACTGAACTGTAAATGCGTTGCAGTATCTCTGTTCATAATGTCATTGGATAGTTCTGAGAAAATCCTCTCACTTCCTGCACCAAAGCAAGTGCATGCAGCAAACTGCAGTTCATTTTAATATATATATGTATATATATTCTTTTTTTCTCTCTTTTGATCATTTCCTACAAACTTAATGTGCACGGCCTCCGGGTGTTTGTACATCCTAGTCAGGGGAAAAAGAGAGAAAGAAAAACCCCAAAATCAGGGAGACGTCCAGCTCCCGTGCGTCTTCATTGAATCTGGTACAGCATCATGTAATTCCATAAAAATGGATTTTAGTGACAGATGTAGGATGGTTTGTATGTTTTATTCCCCAGTGCCCCTCTTGTTTCTCTTTTCCTCTCTCGTGGACTT